AGAGAGAGAGAGAGAGAGAGAGAGAGAGAGAGAGAGAGAGAGAGAGAGAGAGAAAAAGTCAAACAGAGAAGAAAATACAAAATACCTTTCACGATGCATTAAGGCTACGATCGTACGAGAGTCGTGCGTCAATTAGGACGAACATTGCTTAATATTCATCGTATCATCATTACTTTATTTTAACGCTCCTGCGACTGTAGCCTTAAAGAAAAATAAAGAAAATAAACATGGTTCTGTTGGTATTATCAAATTCAAATTTAAAGTTAATAATTAAACGTGTTAAAATGGACGTGGAGTTGCGGTCGAATTTGTTAGACAAGAGACAAAATTTTATTGGCTGCCAGGCCGCCGGCAGCCTTGAAACAGCGCGAATGCTACGATAAAAAAAAAATTGGAATTTCGTTTTCGTGAATACAATAGTCGTCGTTTTTTTTTATAAACAAGCATTAGAACTTGGCGCTGCTCCAGAAGAATATCATGCTACTAATTTTGATTTTATATTAGGTCCCTGCACATGAAATGTCGATTTTATATGTATATCAACGCATTTTTAATTTCCGAAAAAATATAAAGGTATAGAATAACCGCGAGAAAACTCAATTTAATTTAATATTCAATTAAATTTTTTATTAAGGAATATTAAATATTATTCCTTAAAATTATTTTTTTTTAAATGAATAATAATGTTCACAAAATCAAAAATACAGGAAACTTAAAGATAAGATATAAAAAAATATATATATATATATTTCCAGCTTTATATTCCGGACGTTAAATTTTGTATACAATTAATAATTTTTTTTTCACACAATTTGATCTAAGTGTGTAGTCTACAACAAACCACTTCTAAATTATTCTTACAATTAAATCTTAATTTATCAAAAACCAATCTAGAAATCATAATTATAATAAAATAGAATTAATGGTAATAATAATAATATATTAGCAATATCAATATTATTAATGTCTGATTTAAATACCTTTAAAAAGGAAAAATAATATGAAATATTTTATATTTTCAAAATTTGATAAAGCATAATAATTATGATCATATTGTGGTATGCTCGTATAATAAAAGTAAACATACATTCTGATTATTAAAAATAGGTTCACTTTTTCAGAAGATGACATCTCATATGCAACGATCTAATAGAGAAGCTGCGAGCTACATACACATGCACTCTCTTTCTCTCTCACACACAGTTTCTCCCGATTCGATTCGTCGCATCGTTTATCGGCTACGTAATTAAGGCTCAATCACATGGTGGCTCGTGGCTTGTAACACCGCCGTGTAATATCGAAAAAAGTACATCGTATGCTAAAAAAGACGTAGAGAGTCGCCGGAGAATTCAAGTCTGCGTTAAGATACACGTATACTTAATTCTAAACGTACTTACAGCTACTACAAGAGACATGTGTGTATCTCGATAAAATCAATTATATATTCGCAAATATGCGTAAAGCGGCCCCATGCCCCACGCGCGCTCAATATGACCGATTTGCTAAAAATATACGAAAGACAAAAATGAAGCTCTCTGTACAAGGATATACAACAATTGTCTGCACGTGTCTGTGTATGTGGTATGTATATATACGTGTTCATGCCATAACGACGCTGGCAACAAGTGAACAGAATTGAACTGGAATTGAACTGAACTAAAAGAAAGATCCCCAAAAGTACAGTATATTAATTTTGCAACAACGCGCAATGACTTATCCCTCTCGAGAACGAAGATCTAAAACAGCGGTCTCTCCCGTGCCTAATGTGTGAAAAAGACAATCGAAATAGCATGGTTTTTGCATATTGGACAAAATCTAAAAGGACACGTAAAAAGAATTACAACTATTTCTGATCTTCGTACTAATGAGCTCGTCATTACCGCGGCGTTTCGTCATTAGTAAACTAAGCTACATAGTTCATAATATAGCGTCGACGGAGCAAAAAGTCAACAATGATTGAGCCCCTGCGCCTTCCATCCGGATAGAGAAAGTATGGGCTTTGCCTTATCTCTTCCGTTTTTGCTTTTTATTCATGGTTCTGATTTCTTTTTTCTTTCATTATCTTCTGCTATCCTACTAGCCGCTTTACATCATCGTTACTATCAATATGTTAAAGTACAAATGTTCACTCACACAATGATCCTCGCTCGCTCATGCTCGCGCATCACTCATGCATACCAGTTTTTCTTTTAAAATAATTACCATAATTAGCGCGGATTACTTTATCATTATCGTAAATAATCGGGGAAAGAATTAGGAGGTTGGTTGGTGGGGATTGTTGAAGAGCTTGGTTGATTGGTAGGTTGCTTGGTGGTTAGTTGCTTTGTTCTCCTAGTGATGGTGGTGTAAGTACGCTCACGCTAAGGTCAATGGTACGTACAGTAGGTGAGGTATGCTTTCAGGATGAAGGACACGGGGTGATAGATGAAGAAATTTCGACGTGCATCCGCTATTCGTCGTCTTCCTTCCATTCCTCTTCGCTGTCGCTTTTTATTGTAGTTTGGTTCGCCTGTGCTCCTCCTACCATTGGGGCACCGTCATTTTGCATTTTCTTTTTGTACGCGGTCATTTCCTGCGAGGTAAAGGTCTCATCTTTATTTCAAAAATACTTGGATATTTATCTCTTATAAATTAATTTGATCAAACTGATTTGAATTGTGCTATACAAAAGAAATCAATATATTCTAACATATAGACGTACATAAGAAAATCTGACTTTTAGTTTCAGATATTACATGGTTGTAGTATAGGATTTAGGAATCTTAATAGTTAAAAGCATAAGATTGTAATAAATTTCGATATGTTACCCTTTCGTATCGAGCTTTATCCTTTTCTGCCATAGCCTCGTATTTAGATTTGGTTTCGGGATCTGCGTCCGACCATTTCTTGCCTAATTCCTTAGCTATATCACCTACGCCGTATTCAGGATTCAGCATTTTGACCTTACCGCGTTCGTCGTTGCAGAACCAGAAGAAAGCAGACCTGATGAAATTAATCATGAAATATATCTGCTGCTACTGAAAGGGTACCATGTAATACGATAATATATTAAGTTAGCCTTTTTGTTGAAACTAAAGAAAATCAAAATGTATGATTTGGAGATAAAGTAAATTTAAATTTAGTTTTGAGAAATTGCTGTAAATTTAATACTAAGAAAAATAATTAATAACTTTAGTTTTAAAAAATAATATGATAATTGCAGGAAATAGGTAATAAATTTTTCTAAAATGTGAGTAAAACCTTAAAAATCTTTAAACTTCTGTTTTTATTTAAGTTTTTCTAAGTCTATATTTTTTCATTATATATTTAAATATTAATCAACAAATTTTTTCTCAAGATCGAAATACATTATGTAAGAACATGAGAGCTTACAGCGATCTCTTGGGAGCATTGTGATCCTTGATGTGTTTACGTTTCTTGCCCCTGCCCTTATTTTCTCCCTTAGGCGGCGTATAGTTCTGCATCTCCGTGTCGTATCTCTTCTTATCTTTCTCTGCCATTTCGTGGAAACGTTTCTTCTCAATGTCCGACATGGTCTACGACACAATGCGACATTCCGCCTATGTAGCGTTAGCGTTTTTATACAGTTAGTCTCACAGATCGAGCCACGTGCGATAAGTGTTCAATTACTGAGAAAATAAGTGTTTCCCTATCGGTACAGCATATTCTGTCATGTATAGTCGCGTGCATGCAGGATAATGAATGCTTTAAACTTTAAAACACTCATTCTTTAATAACAATGTCACGATGAGAAAGATTTTTGCATGTATAGGTTGAATTTTCTTTATTAATAATTTTGATTCCGCTAAACAAGATGAAGATTGACGGTTTAACGAGGCGGGATGTGTCGGCTCGTAACGACGCGCTTAAATACCATACTTGCGCGTGGCGTTTACCGAGTGTCACATATTTATTCAGAAGCCGAGATCAAAGTAGCTCTCGCGAATCCGCAGGCTTTAGACAGAAGAACATTATGTATCCCACTCTCTCGCTCGCACCTCGGGCTGTGAAACCAACATACAGGGAAATCCAACGAAGTATCATTTCCAAGTTAGTTCTTGCATTTCTCTTGATTGTAGTATTAGCAAAGGAATCTATATTAATCCATCTCGAATTTATAACATTATATCTATAAAAACGAGATTTGCGTAATGAACTAAAGCGAATAATTTTAAAAGTCTCACCTTCCACCTCATTGCACACTTTTTGGAGAATTCCCGGAAAACGATCTTCTCCTCGGGATGCTTCTTTTTATGCTCCTGACGACATGTCTGGACGAAGAACGCGTACGCTGTCATCCGTCCCCTTGGCTTCGAATCTTTTCCTCTCGGCATATTGTCTCGCTGTAGACTCTGAGCGTTATTTTGTTGAAGATTATTTTGCGGTATCTGCTGTATCGGGTGCTGAAATCCAAGCAAACGATCTACAATGCAAAATGCTGCCGCGGCAAATAGCAAAAGACCTGTTAACGTCTTTAAAACAGCAAGTCTCGACAATTTCTATTTTTATATCAAAGAAGATTTCTGAGACGAAAATGCTTCTCTATATTTCGACATGAAAACAAACAAGAAAAAGGCTCTAAATTCTCAAAATAGAAATCTTCCATTTTTGCATTGAAAGAAGCTCTTAAATGCTGAAATAGAAACTTCCACTTTCGCATCGGAAGATATTTAAATTTAAAAATAGAAATTATCTATTTTTATATGTCATAATTATTTATTTTTACATTAAAAGGAGAATTTAAATCGTAAAACAGATACATTCTATTTTTAAATCGAGAAAAATTCGTGTATATATATATATATATATTTGTTAATACGCGAAATAATATGCGGTGTATCGTCGTATTATGAGAAATTTGCGTAAGAAGTAAGAGAACTTCCTTGCGTGTTATTAGCTCACGAGGAGCAAAAAATAAAAGATTTTTTTTTACTGTGATGCGAAAGATTGGTCACTCAGGACATTGCTGCGAGCGAATTTAGCAAGATATATCCGCGATAATTGAGACGTGTCGTTACGCACTTTACGTAATACGACTTGCGTGTTAAATTAATGAACGGCTGCGGCCCGCGATCTCACATTGACAATGAGACACACGTAACAATGCTCGCCGTACAAACGCGCGTTTTTGATTTTGTCAAGTAACAATGGTCATTACATTGTACGTACGTGCAATATTATACAGTATATTATCATTATGTACATAATTATCATGTTGTTACACATAATGCCGTATAATAATAACATAGATTGGCATTATATTATTATAATTATATCAACATTGTTACATGCTTGTTACCGCTCCAACCATAGTCCCGCAAATCTCATCGTTGCGGAGAGTCATTGTTAAACTTAATAATTTTACGTAGATTCAAAATAAAATAATAACATAGATAAAAGTAAGTAAATAAATAAATACGAAAACACACATACATACGTATGTACGTCAGACGTCTTCAATATAAGAATAAATGAAAATTCAATATTCTTCCAAACGTTGTCGTTGATTGATAATCTTAGAATTGAAAGCAGACAAAAAGCATCTAGATAGGTAAACAAAAAAAAACGTCCATCTTTTTTTAGACGCGACTCTTTGTTGTTAGACACGACTTAAAGCACGTGCGCACCAGTTTGTATATATTCATTATGCTATACACGTCACATACCCGATCGGGCTTTGCTCTTGCTTCGGGCTCTTTGAAATGTGTAAGACGTGATATAGCACAATTATACTTGTACTATACGTACAATATACCGACCGTTATTACTCCGGATTGCGGATAATAATAGTTACCACGTACCTGCAGAAATAATCGGAAATCTAGTTGACCTACGTGCGGATGTGAGATCTGCCGGCAAAATAACTACTATGTAGAATCGATGACATTGTCATTGAGTCGGTCCATAAGTAATGCGGGTTTCTTTTTCATTTTTAGACGATGTAAACGTAAACGACCGCCAACTTTTGCGGATCTGCTTCCGCGATCCGGAAACTCGCATTATTTATGGGACGGTTCAATAGATCGCATTACATAAAATATATACCTGACTTAATTAATTAATTACGTCTGATTTTTGTTAATTAATTAATTAATTAATTAATATTCAATTTTGATGGCAAGCGTTCTTAAGAACTAATTTACCTATTCATCGAAATATCTGAGTAACGAAAGAGTAAAAACGACTTTCAAGGTATATCGCGCAACGGAACGATTTCGCGTTATTTTTCCCTTCTCGTTTTCCTTCTCGCACTCGCCGCGACATAGGGATTAAGAATTTATGCCCCTTGGGCCGCAGGCGTTACATTACGGCATATGGTTTCCTATGGTCTCGCAGTGCGCATGGAAATAAAATTAACGTCGGGCACGGAAACGGAAGTCAGATGTTTGCGACGAGGCATATTCTATGAACAACAACAAAACAAAAAAAGACAAAAGAAAAAAAGCTTTAAGGTTGTGACCACGATTGCGGTCTCATTTGTTCAGCAGGTGTTCTTTCACACCTAGAAACGTTCTATCATTCATATGAACGCACTGAGCACAATTTTTTATTAATCTGTCAAAATATTGGAAAATACTTTGTTCCTTTCAACTGTCAAAATTGAATGAGTTTATATACTGACAGAAATATTTTAGACTATTTTAAACAGAACAATCGAAAGTGTTCTGCGCATTTTCTATAATATTTTCTAACTCTAATTCAGAGAAATATTTAATGATTTACTTCGTGCTGTAAATTTGTTTCTTTATATTAACTTTTTTTTTTATAAATAGTTAAAAAATTGTAAAGAAATTAAAATAATTAAACAATCTAGTTTCGACAATCAAATCTTAGTGTTTGTTCTCTCAAACTTGTCGGAAATTATTGTTGCTGTGTCCATTTGAAACAAATGCTAAATGTTGAGAATCGTACAAAGTATTATCTTGAGATTTATCCGTGAATGACTCTCGGATGTAAAGAGAGTAAAAGTGCAAGTAAGAAAGTAACTCTGCGGTATACTTTTCAGTACAGTGTCCGTTTGTATGACTCTCTTGAGAGTGACTCTCGACTGTAGTTCTCTCAAATAGACACACACAAACCATTAATCTTTTTACAGACTTCTTGACAAACGTTATAGATACGCTAAATTCTAAGTGTACTCGTATCAGAGATCGTTACCGCATGCCTGTTAATTAAAGCGTAAATCATGCCGATGATCCGTAAGTTTCGGTAATGGGCTCGGTTGAACAGTTGTGGGCGGGTATAAAATTTAGAAATCGTTTTAATTAAGAAAAATATATACGCGCGTGAGAAACCGGGCCAAGCGAATGAAAAAGAAGTGAAACACATTCCTCTTTTGTCGGCATGTTACATGAAGTCGAACTATTTTTCTAAAAAAAGAAAAAAAAAGTAAATCATTCAATGTATACATATAATGTAAAAAATAGTTTTATATAAATATTAAATACGATTTTAAGTAAATATTAAATAGTTAAACTTTATAGATAGATTCGGGACAAGTTGTTTCATTAACGTGACGTAACTTTTCGATGGAAAATCGAAATCCGATTCTCTCTCTCTCTCTCTCTTTCTCTACGACATGTCTATTACCTTCTACTTCAAATATCTACATTTTAGTTCATGGAACTTTAAACAAAATATGTTTAAAGTTTCCGGCTGAGATATCGTGAAAATGTGTAAATTACGTCGCTCCTTTCGAGCATTATTATTTCGAAAGTGCGTAATCGGCCCGATCATTCATCATCACAAACTTTCATACGTGAACTTTCATATATAGTCTAACATGTATTCCGGAACAGGATTCCGCTTTCGTCGCACTATTACAAGCTTCGATTATCCATTGACGATGAAAAAAAATTTACACGCGACTTCAATATCACTGTCAATATCAATGATTACGATTGAGAGATCGTCAGAAGAAGACGGCAATCTCGGATTACTATCAAATTCACAAGAAGAGGAGATCTGACGTTTTTTTCCAGAAGAGAAAAGACGATTTCAAGTAACTGTACTTTGTGACGACGTAATCGATTAAAAAGCTAACACAATATAAATGGAAATTTTATGAAAAGAAAAAACCGTTTTTAATTAAATACTATTTATCATAAAAAATGATAAAGCTACGATCTTCCTTATATTACAAAAAATAATCTTTTGTTTCGAACACTCACTGGACAGAAAGAACGGTTTTGCTATAGTATCTAAAAATGTGATTAGATATAAATCTAAAAATAATTTTGTCATAATAATTAGAACGTTCAAACTGACTGGGATATTAAATTTTTTGCAGCATTGCTCATCATGCTTGAGTTTCCTACGCAATTATTTTGATGATTCAACAAAATTATTTTCAGATCTGTAGATCTGAAAGAAATATCTTGTATGAATAAGCATAATTTGATATGAAAATTACACAAACTTTATTTTTCAATTAAAAATTTCATTAAAATAACCAAATTTTGATTGAAACACTATTTTTTAATTAAAAAAATAAGAGTTTTTGAAATTCACATATCATAGAGCTAAATGTTTAATGTCCCGGCAAAATCGTTCTTCCCATATACTTTCTCATGTAAATATATGGATATATCTTTCCAATATTCTCGAAATTTAAATTTTAAATCTGAGCAGTCTCGATCAATGTAAACTAAACAAACATCCTAAAACGAGAGAGCATAGTGTCTGTGAGATCAATTAGGGAGTATTTCTGTTCCCTTATATTTGACAAATTTTTTTATCTGTTCCGTTCAGTTGCAGAGTATCTGCGTTCTCCTTCGACCTTCCTCTCCCCTCTTTTCTCGCCACACACGACGGTCGAAAGCGTGCTTGGAGAGCAAAAAAGGGAGGAGGGGGACAGTTATAAAGAACAGATCTCTTGACACTTAGTGTTAATGTGAAATCGCGAAACGAGCAACGAGAAAGAACAAGATAATATCAACCGGCAAGCGCGGCTGGACTTGCTGAACGCGAACGCACTTATGAAGAAGGCTGCACGAAACCCGGAATCAATAGCGGACGGCGGATGTACGTACGTACGGATGGACGGACGGACGGACGGACGGACCGAACGAACGAACGAACGAACGAACGAACGAATGAACGAACGAACGAACCGACGGACGGACGGACGGACGCGACGGGATGAGAACGCGCGAAAATCCAGGCCCAATCAACCAGACATTGGCATACGATGACAATCGGAATTGCTTCTCAACTCTACTGTATATATGCGAATTATGAGACGGAGAATCACCTGAATCTGTCTCGTTCTTTTTTCTCACATTAGATCCGTTATTTTTTATTCTTGCATTGGAACTCTCTTTCTCACTGTCGCCAAATATCAAACGTATATCTACTTAACTTTGAATTCCAAAACTATACTAGTTCAGTTATAGAAAACAGAATCTAATATGCATCACGATATTTTTTTTTCTCTCGTAATTCGATATCCCACAAAATATAGCTTTACACGACACGAAGATCCTTTTTGATTCGCACGAGATAACCGAAAGAGGATCCCGAGGGTTCCCGCCGTCTTTCCATCGTTTCCATCCAGATCCGCGTACAATCGCGAATCTCGTCGAGCCGAAGCAGGCAAAAGAACCGACCGATTAGTCGGTCGTTTGCCTTTTCCGAAAATGTTAAAACGAGCGAATACTTTATAGAAAGCTTTATCGAGCCTTCGAAATTTTCTTCATAGCAAAGGTTACAGAATTTACATCGAGGAAAAATCAGCTCGAAATTGCCCAAAGAATTTATAGGACTAAAGGAATGCAATTAACTGAAATATTCCGTACACAAGATAAATCATACGAATTTTTTCCATTTAACTCGTCATTACACGAAGTTACGTTGCAAAAAAATTACGTTTCTCTCTTCCAAGTATTTCTAAATTCCTTTCCTCTCTTCTACAAACACAGATAAAAAATTCAGTTACTGAGATTATCGTTGTCGGCGATCGGTGAAAATCGATCAATACCGCACCGGAACAAATTATATACCTCTCTCCAATAACATTTCCTTCTTTTTACTGTAAAACCGCTAACACAAAAGATGATAAACGAAATTTCCACGGGAATACACCGTATTTCCCTGCCTTTATGCGCATATGAGACGACACTGAAGAAAACGAAGGATACGAACACCATGCATATACCTTTTATCGCAATTATCGCAATCACGTTCTCGGATCGCCTCGTCGTTGCCTATCAAAGCCTACCCTAAGTACAACCGAAGGGATATACCTAACTTTTCTCCTGATACCTGGGCCTATCGCCGCTGACGATCTTAATTCCTTAACATATCTTCCAGATGCAAGCAGCGGAGCGAGTTCAGGTAAAACCCATCACGACTCGATATTTTTAATTTAAAGAAATATAGGATATATATTATATTTAAATTCGCCTATATATAATATCAAAAGAAATACGAATAATACATACGAGAATTGATCCACGAATGAAGCAAGTGTATTTCGTTGAAATCATCGATAATACTACTTGACTAACTAAAAATTAACCATCTTGTCAAGATTCGTTAATGCTCAAATAAAAATGTGCGTGCATTTTCCGGCAATTGTAAAAATCCGATCTAATACTATGACGAGATAGAAGGGACGACGGACAAAATCAGACAAAGCTTTCCGTCTTTGGTGGAGAGAAAGACAAGCGGGAAGAGAGACAGAGAAAGAAATTCTGCATTAAAAAATGTACGTCGCATGAAAAAAAAAAATCAACTTGCGTGCAGCGAATGCGAAATAATATTTGGGAACTTCCTTGGTACATTTTTTGCGTCTTATCAATCGCGAGCGCGTGTATTATTCCAGACAAGTTATCTTATAATTTTAGAATTAATATTATTATTTGTGGAATATTTAACGAACTCGTATTCATTTTTACCAAAGCAAATTAACTTTCAACCACATGATTCAATTTACTTTTTTCATCTTTTTCTTATTTTTAGAACTAGAAAAAATAAAGAGTTTATCGAACCGAGATTAAAATTAAAACTACACTGGTAGAAACGGGCATCAGTAAAGGCATCCGAGGCATAAAGAGATCGTTAAAACGAACGGACTCTGCCGCGTATTTCACAGGAGGCTTTCGGAAAAGTTGTCAAAAGTGGCCGCATGGCCACCTGGTCGAACCGGCTATATCTCTCTGTCTTCGTGTTACAGCCACCCGCTCGCTCGTCCGTTCGCCGAGCGCGCGAAAGTGGCCGAAAGACCGGCGAGCAAGGGGAACGAAGGGGAACGAGGGGGAACGAGGGGCGAGGAACGAGGTCGTCGCGTTTCGGCCTACGTATCTACAACTACAACGTGATACAAAGGCGTCGCATAAACGCAAATCCGTTACCGGACCACTGTTTCTTAGATCGAACGAAGATTCAATTTGCGCGCGATAGAGGGACGACGATCCTTCTCTTATACAAATTTATATACACACGCGATCATTCTTCACTATTCCCAAATGTTGAACAATGGCGACTCGAGCATCGACTGACGATCACTGAGTTCTTTACATCGCTTATCTATTTGTCACCTTGAATCTCGATACGAATATCTTCGTAATCAAAACGCGGACATCCGGTAACGTAAAAGCATTCGTGAAATGCCTGAAGAAAGCGCAAAAGTAAAAAAATAAAAAAAAAAGAAGGAAGACTTTGGCGCCGCTTGCCAAGAACGCGGGAAAAGAAACCGCTATCGCGCGCGCGGAAAGGGAGATGAACTTTTTCTTTCTTCTCGAGGGTACGGTTACTCGTACTTCGCAACATACCGGGGACATAACGGGGGGCGTGGACGTTTGCGTGGTAATGGGCGAGAGGTGTTGCTGCTGCGGCTGCTGTTGTTGCTGCTGGCCCTGCAACTGCTGGTGCAGGTTGTTCTGCGCGGCAGCGTCCATAACTCCGCCTGGATACCACCACTGTACGCCGGGCGGCGTGCCGCCGCCACCGCCGCCGCCACCGCCGCCGGCGGCGCCTTGTCCAGGACCCGGCGCCGTACCGAGCCTGTAATCGTATCCACCCCTCATGCACGCGGCGGCGCCGCCGACCGGCGTGGATGTCGACACCGGACTCGATGCCGCGCCGGTGGTGGCCGGGTTCTGGAAGCTGGAGGCCATTTTGTAGGAGAAGAGCTGTTGGTTCGCCGCGGCGGCAGTACTCCGGACGTTGTCCGGATGATGCTGCGACTGCTGCTGCTGCTGCTGCTGTTGTTGTTGTGCAAGCTGTTGTTGCTGCTGTTGCTGTTGATTCAGCAGATGCTGATGTATAGTCTGTTGTTGCTGTTGCTGTTGTTGCTGCTGTTGCTGTTGATCGGTCGAAACGGTATTCAGACCCGCGGGCCACCAGGCGGCACCGCCGGATGCATCCTCTCGGTTACCCGGGCTCGCGGTGCCCCAGCCACCGGCCACGCGGTGGTGCTCCGACATATCGCGACGTACGTTCGTACGTCCGTCAGCGTTCCTCAGCCTCTCGTTTTACCCGCCGGTGACACAACACCAGCGAGGGAAAAGAAAAATTCACGGAGGAATTGCTCGCACGCTCGCGCGCACGTACACATGCACGCGTTAACGTTCCCTTTCTCTTTCCCTCTCCCTCTCTCTCACTCTATTCCTGTCCGTCTTTCCTTCTTTCTCGTTACAAGTCTTTTTCTCTTCTTCCCTTTCTCTCTCTCTCTCTCTCTTTCTAGTTTTCACACGCACACGCGCGCACTCGCACGCTCGGTAACATCCCGCGTGCACACACGGTGCACACAGACACAAACAGACAGACAGCTATAACTCTATATTACTCCTTCTCTCTCCCTCTTTCTCACCCTCTCTCTCTCTCTCTCTCTCGCTCTCTCTCGTTCTCTCTTTCTCACTCGCTCGTTCGCGCGCACGTACACGGAATCCGTCTCACATTCGCACACTTGGGAACTCGCTGGTACGAACGCTTAGATGTCGGACAGGAGAGGAAAGACCACGCACCACACGCACGCGTTTCAAACGCGTTCCCACTGTCACAACACACTGTCTCCGCGTTGAAGCAACGGTCGACGGTTAGACTCCGGCTACGAGAAAGAACACCGATGCGATCACTATAAGGCTCGTGCTTGGCCGCGTTCGTTTATTCGCATCGCGGAACGCGCGTTTCCTTTTCTGTTTTTTTCCTTCGCGCGCGTAACACCAGCGCGTAAAACACGCCGCGGCGCGCTTAGCTTCAGTTCCCCGTGAATATACGTACGTACGTTATACTTGGGATGCGGTCTACTCGACGCTACGCTCGACCGTTCGTTAGCTCCGTGAGTAGGTACGGCGGCGGGCAGAGGAGGCGAGCGGGCGGGTGGGTAGGGGAGGGCGCTCTCTCTCTCCCCCTCTAGCTCTTTCTTTTTCCCTCTGCCTCCCCACCATCGACGACGAGGAGCAACGACGTCGAACGCTCACGTTCGCTCCGTCTCTCTTTCTCTTACGCCTTCTTTTTCTCTCTCTTCCTCCCTTTCTCCCTCTCTGTCTTTTTCTCTGTCTCTTTGTCTCTATCTAGCCCGCCTCGCTCTCTCTCTCTCTCTCTCTCTCTTTCCCCCTATATCGTCCCGCGGCGAAACTCGCTTGCTCGACGGTGGTTCCTTCTTTCAGCGGCGGCGGCGGCAGCGGCGGCGGCGCCGACGCAAGGATACGGGTGTACACACCGCGTCCTTGACGATACAATGTCGGGGAACAGGAGCAGTAGCAGCAGCAACAGCGTTTTCCAATGATGACGGGGATTCTCTCTGCGGCGCTTAAAGCGCGACGCAGAGGGACGCGTCACGCGCGCGTCCGCGAGACGCCGGTTACTCCGGTTCCGCGCGTTATAAACACCGTGCTCCGGCTTCGCGCTCAACTCTCAGCTCGATTTGGTTTGACTCGGTTCGGTTTGGCGCGACGCGAAGCGACGCGGAGCGTAAGCGACGCCGGCACGTCCGACGAGCACGCCGCTGAACGATGTCACGATGGTGGGCAATAGAGAGAGAGTATAGTGGTGATAGTATAGTAACAGCCGGCTCTGTAATGGTAGTAGTAGCCGATAGCTTTTTCACATTGGAGAGAAGCGTACGCGCGCGCGAGACTCGCTTCTCTCTCGCCTCTACCGCGACTCACTACACGCGACGTCGCACACACAGAGGGCGAACCTGGCGAGAGAACAGACCGCCTGGACGCGCGGCTCGTACGATCTCTCTTCCTCTCTTTTCCCCGTCTATCTGTCTGTCTTTCTTTCTCTCTCCCTTTCTCTGTCTACCATGCACTTCTCCCCTCCTCCACGCCCCTCACGAGGGGCCGGGTGTCTCGTTCGCGCTCGCTCGCTCTCTCTCTCTCTCTCTCTCTCTCTTTCGTTCTCGTTCTCTCGCACCCGTACCAGTTTAGCCTTCCTTCCAGCGGACGCCGGCAAACTCTCGCGACGTTGCCAAGCACGCTTTCACCCGCCCGCTCACAAAGGAGAACCTAAGCGCGCCGGCCAATCGAACGGCGCTATACTGCCGGTGGGGATGGCGGGAGTCTACCGCCGTCGTGCTATAGGCAACGTCGCTTTCTCCTCTTCCGTTCTCTCTCTCTCCGTTCGTAGAGAATTCGAGAGAGCCGCGCGCGCGACTCGCCGTATAGTCCCACCGGTAAGATACGCGGAGGGATGGGGTGGGGGACGAGGCGCAGAAACGACTGCGAACCCTTCTCTACCCTTGAAACTCGAGGTCAACTTTTAGGCAGAGAAAGAGAAGCACGCGGAAAGACGAAGAAAAAAAGAAAGAGACGCACCTATCCCTGCGACCGACTGGCTGACTCCACGACGTCGTCATCATTGCGTGTTCTTTCTTCTGTTACCTCTCTCGCGCTCTCTCTCTCTCTCCTTTTTTTATCCTTAGTTTCGCTACACCGCTACGCTCTCGCTAGCTCGCTGGAATTTGCCCCACATCGGACGGACGATGCTTCCTGCTTTTCACGCCCGCTGCTTTACGCCCTTTTTCCCGCTCATCGTAACGTACACGCCGCGAGGACGAAGACGAGGACGCGCGCCCGCTATCTTTACCGACCGGCGAGACGACGGGCCGCTCTCTTCGTCGGTCGATACGGAAGAACCTTCGGAAGAGCGATGAAATTTCACATTCTACGAATGGAATGTGCCCCCGAGGATCCACCACGCGAGGCTCGATTCATGCACGCGCAAATGATTCCGAGGCCGGATTTATCGTACGGCGAGGCGTCATTATGAAAGACGCCATCTTGAAAGAAATACCTTTATGATAAACGCATCGAGTTGTAATAATTAATTCTCTGACACGATCGCGTTTTAATCGCCCAAAGAATACATAAAAATATACCCTATTTTGATTCTTAACGTCAATAAACGATCAAATATCATCACATTGACCTTCATGACGTCAAGATGAAGTCATTTTGACTTTCACTTGACTTGGTCTGTTCTATCATTTCATGCGATACGTTCGCTCGATGCCGATTAGAATAAAATTCCTTCTTCGAATTAGCTAATAATTTTTCGATGAAAAACGTAAGTCGCATTATAACTCAGAAGAACGTTCGCGGACGAGATTTTCATTTCTTCCTTCATACATTTTATACATATATATATATATATATATATAACCTCTTATTATCTCTTTATCGATACACAACCGCAGGAATGTGACGCTCCGCAATGTACCCCTTGGCCATCGCGTTTCATTCTTTTTTCCTCGCGAGCAAAGTCGCGAATTGGAATTCGCGCGAACCGGATGGAGAAGTTCTGAGACCGATCAACGCTCGGGGGAATGGCCGAAATTTTTCCTGACCACCTCCCCTTCAAAGCGCGCGCTGTTCTTTCCTTTTTTTTTCCCTCTCTTTTCTTTTTTTTTCTACTTTTCTCTGTCTCCGATAGCGCGCCAAGAAGATGAAATGAAAATGTATATCGCGGGACCTGTGCGTCGGACCTGTCCCTCCCGTCTCTCCCGCCGCCCCGTGTTGCCGCCGCCATTCCCCCCCCTCTCTCTCTCTCTTTCTCTCTCTTCCCCTCCCCTCCCCCGGCAACCCTTGCCATCGTGAGGCGGCGGGTGAGTCGGTGCGGGTAACCCGGCGCGAATCGAAGAGAGAGGAGAAGAGAACCGGGTCCGGGTCAATAAGACGCGCGAGCGAGAGAGACGGGGTGATCGAGGGAGACAGATGCAATGGAGAGGCAGCGGCGTTGTTGAGGTTAGAGGGGAAAGGAATGGGGAGCGGTAGAAGCGGAGGGGAGGAGATGGGGTACGCAAGAGAGAGAGAGAGAGAGAGGCGGGAGAATAGGCAGCGTGAGAAAGACGAAGAGAGACAAAGCCATCGCGCATTCCCAGGGCCCAGCATTGGCAACCTAACGAACGTACGTATGGAAACGTACGAAAATATTGAAATTAGCATACTTCTAACGGGGAACGGAACGAGAAGAACGAAAGAAAATGCGTAATATGCTTGGGGGAAATTACCGAGAGACAAGACAACGTGGAATAGAAGCGGAACGAAAAATTCTCAAATTCTCCGATTATGTTGGTACGGCCCAAAGACGGCCCGAACCGGACCGGCCGATTCTACGCGGAATGTACCGTCGTATCGCGTCCAAAATATGCTGGACGTGTATAGCTTCAAATATACGAAATATTCGATACGAGATTGTGGCCTCGAGAGATCAATGTTTAATTACGTTTACCGGACCCTTGGTGAAAATAAAAATCGGAGCGTAAGCCGAATGTGAGGGGAGAGTAACGAAAGCGTAAATACGAACTTCTAGGAGGCGAAAATTGGAAGAGCGTAAACACCTTTTTTTACGCTTCTATTACTGTCCCCTTACATTCGACTTACATACACTCCGATTTTTATTTTCACCGGGGACGCCGCCTCGCATTACGAAAATCTGAATAACGTTGGCAACGTATGGATTTTATCCCGTCGATATGTATCCGCGACAAAGTTTTGCCTCGGTCCTTGGGAGGAGTCGAAAGAAGAATCTCCTACAGCTTATAACTTTCTTACACTAACCTAAGTATCTCGCCGTTAGGATTCCGAAAAGACCCCGATCCGTTAGGTAAACGAGGGAGAGAAGGGCGCCCTAGGCGCGCATCCGATTCCCACGATTTAACGTACACCTTGGAATATAGTGCGCGCGTGCGCCTGCTTTTTCGAAATATGTATCGTAATTCTTTATCTAATAGAATGCACTCGCGCGAGCGGCCACGCGGGACAGAAACAATGTCACAACAGCGGGAACCCTCCCGAGTCGTACCATCTGCCCTTTCGAGGGCTTTCGAATCGTGCCATGTGGCGATACAATTGTCGCACCCCGTCGGCTCGTCTTTTACCGGACAGTTGAAACAAAAAGGGCCAATGCGTATAAATAATACATGTGCCGACTGAGACGCGGTTTGATTACCAGCGCATCTCGACACCCTCTAGTAGAAATTACAAAAAACAGATTGTAAGGAGAAGCCCAAATTTCTTCGACATATGCTTCTAAATTTGCTTTTAAGATTCTTATGTTCAATCACGCGGCTTCATGAAGCCGATTTCCTTGCATTTTGAACGCAATTTTATGTAAGCAAAGAGATTACTTTGAGATAGAAATCCTATAATAAGAGTCACGAGAAAGTAAAGGTATAATTAAAC